TATTATTAAAATAAATTAATAATAATAAAATTAATAATAATAATAATAATTATTATTATTATTATTATTACTATTATTATCATTATTATTATTAATATTGTTATTAAATATTCAACATTATTATTATTATTACTATTATAATTATCAAATATTAATTATTATTATTATTATTAATATTATAATTATTAAATATTTATTATTATTATTTTTAAATATTAATTATTTATTATTTTTATTATATATTAATTTTTAATAATATTATTACCATTATTATTATTAAATATATATTATTTATTATTAGTTATTATTATTATTAAATATTAATTATTATTATAATAATTTAATATTAATTATTGTTATTATTAAATATTAATTATTTATTATTATTATTATTATAATAATTCAATATTAAGTATTATTTTTAAGCAGATTGAAGCACAGCAGTTCAGTATAGCAGAGCAGTACTAAAGAACGGGGCCTAAAGGTAGGATTATTATATTCCAATGTTCCTAAGAAAAAGAGGGTTACCATTTCAGTGTTACACAAGCTGGAGGTAACCATTGAGAAGTTTTTTTTTTTTTTTTTTTTTTTTTTTTTTTTTTTTTTTTTATATATATATTCATTAAGCTCCATTTTATAAATTAGAATAACCTCCATAATGATTAAGACAGACGGACAGTCATGCTTCCTTACAAAGTCGGGAAACATCAAACATATTCTAAAGTTGATGAATGAGGAAAAAGGGTTAATTTAGAGAGGAGGAACAATGATTAATTGCCCTAATTGGCAACTGTAAAGTGTAAAGTATTGTTAGTGGCTTCGATTTATTTCTTTTGGCCTTCTACTATTAATCTATTACAGATGTTTGCCTTTTTTTAAGGCTTTAATTAATATCAATAAAGCCTTCGAAAGGAAGCAGCGCAGGCCACACAAAGTGCTTCTTTGAATAAGACACTGCCCCATTTGCCTTAGGTTATACTCCTAAATAATCATGTTATATCTTGAAACTATAGAATTGTCGCAGTGGTTGCTTATACCATCTCCAATGAGACTCATAGAAGTTTTTTTTTAGAAGAGAGAAAGAAGAGCATTTTTTTTTAGGTAACGGATATCAATTAGTTAAATTAATATTGAAAATTAGATAACATAAAAGAAAGTTATTAAGGTTAGATATTTAACTTTGAGTCTTAATTGACAAAAATGTAAAACACTAATCAATTTTATAAAAAAAAATTTTAGAGAAATTTGTAAAAAGGACCTTTTAAGTGGTCGAATTTTTGTAAAAGGACATTTTAATTGAAAAGTTGTGAAACATGACCTGTAAATTGTATTATTTTGACTTTTACCACCATGAGCAGCAATTGGTATGGTGGGTCATAATGGAAATTTTGACTTTTACCATCAAAAAATTTGGACAAATTGTTTTTTACCACCTACTATTTTAAAAGTTTTATTTTACCACCAAATTAAAAAAATAAAGTTGTTTTTTACTACCAAATTACAACTCTGGTGACTAAAAAACGCAATGGGTCCCACTGTTTACCCTTTCCATCCAAATTACATGCTACCCACCCCGATTTATTTTTCCTATTGAATAACCCCAGCAACAGAGTTGAATTTCCTTCACTTTTCTCACCTTCCTCTCATTAACTGCTCTGAATTTTGCTCTCTCACCTTAACTTTTAATTTCTGACTTTTCTCTTTCAATTTTTTTACTTTTCTTCGAGCTTTCATATCAATTGTTTGCGTAGAGACGAAGACTTGAACCACACAAACCGCACAACCCAGCCTTGAGTTCGTCACTTTCAACAAGGGGGGGGGGGACTTGAAAGCATGCGACTTTTTAGATTTCACCATCAACGATTCGAGAATCTGACAGCGAAAGGTACTTTTGTGTGTTTGCAAAAAGAGTGAAATGTCCATTTAAGGTGTATGATGTGAGATTTGTGAAGTCAAAAACTTTGCATATCAAGTCACTGAGATTGAAGCAACTTTGCAAAGAGAACTCCACACTTACATTTTGTCTCTCTTGAAGGAAAACTTAAAGAAGACTTTACCTCCTGCAAAATCACACTTAACAACTTCAGTAGTTGTACCAATTCAGCTTAATTACAATTTCATAAACCTAATTTCAATGCAAATCATTGATTCACAAAACCCCCAATTTCAAACTTAACATGAACCCTAATTTTACAAAAACACAATTTGGGTTTTAATTGCTAAGTTGTAGCAACAAATTGTGGATTAACTACCTCGTTATCTCAAATTATATGAACATTCGAACAAAATTATTTAATCAATTCAAGTAAATCAGGTAATTAAATGTGCGAAAAAACGACTTACCTCAACTGCTTCAATTCTCACTTTTCAACCCAATTCGTAAAAAATTATGTGGATATTGATGTTTGTGGCTGAATCCGTGAGCTTTATGTTGTAATTTGAGAGAATTGGGAACAATTGATGTTTTTCAATCGTTGAATGATTAAGCAATGGTTTTATAGGCCGGAAAATCGTGACCAAAACGAACAAAAATCAAAAAGTAGTCATTGTAGTGGGACCCATTGCGTTTTTCAGTCACCGGAGTTGTAATTTGGTGGTAAAAAACAACTTTAATTTTTTTATTTGGTGGTAAAATAAAACTTTTAAAATAGTAGGTGGTAAAAAACAATTTGTCAAAATTTTTTGGTGGTAAAAGTCAAAATTTCCTAATGGAAAGTGACTTTATGAGGCATTTCAAACCGCTCACCATGAGCAGCAATTGGTATGCCTCACAAAGTCACAAATGTAAAACAAAGTCATTTCATTGATATGCTCCACACCACTTTTTCCTCTTCTTTTCTCTCCCAACCAAATTTATCTATACTTATATACTAAAGTGATCCCTATAGTTATCCCCTAATAACATGAGTCATCACCTCGTAAAAAATTTTCCCACAAAAAAAAAATTGTTACTTTTTTTTAAATAGTTCTAAACAATTGTTACTTTTTTTTTTAAAAATAATTCTAAACCCGTGCTATGCACGGTTTTACAATAATATTTTACTATTTATTTATTAGAAACTATACAAAACAAATCATTAGATGTCAAAAAAAAAAATTAATTAAAATAGTAAAATAAATATTGTGATATACCATAAGATCTATTGTACTCTTTTCTTAATAAAAAAAGTACTCACTATTTATGTTGTCCTGGTTGATAACCAAAAAAAATCAATAAATAAAAATAAATAAATAAAAATAAAATAAAAAATTGATGATATCCTAATAGTATTTTAATTTTACGTAACATTTTATACAATACCACTATATTTTTTAACTTTATTTTTTAATCATCAAAAGGATGAATGAAAATTATGGTTTATGTGCAACCATTAATTGCAAAATAGAAAAATAATTAAAGTAATGCCATATCACAACTATTTAGGGATAATTTGGGGATATGTGGTAAAAATTCACTTACTAAAAAGAGAAAGTAGGAATGTAATTTTGAAACACTAAAAAAGGAAAGCAGGAATGTAATTAAGGGATAAAGGAAGTACTATTTTCTTAATAAAAAAACTACTCACTATTTATAGTTCTGGTTGATAAATTAAAAAAAAAACCATTTTGATGATATCCTAAATAGTATTTTATAATTTTATGTAACATTTTATGCAATACCACTATATTTTTTTAATTTTATTTAAATTATTATTATTGGATATCACTCCATAAGGCAAAAACTTCTCCTTTAGATATGTTAACAAACTTATATCAATACCAAAAAAAAAAAGGAAACAAAGTATTTTGGAGGGAATTTTTTTTATAGGGTGATGACACGTGTACTTAGGGGATAACTACGAGAATTACTTTGGTATATAAGTATATATAGAAGTATAAATAGATTGTTGTTGAAAGAAGTCTCTTACTATATCTTAGGGAAAAGTTTTGGAATATTTAGGGAATGATACCAAACAATAATAATTTAAATAAAATTAAAAATTATAGTGTTAAAATAAGAAATGTTATGAAATAATAAGGCAAAAGCTAATGAGCGCCCCCGGGACGTTAAATAAGAGAATTAAAAGTGGAAATATTAGAGTAAAATTAACATTAATTACACCGAACGACGCGTAGTGGTTTTGTCATGCATTCTTAACTTAATACCATTTCAACCAATATAATGATTCCTTATCTAACGCCCCGGAGCGCTCGTTAGCAAAATCCTAATATAAAATATATACTACTTAAATATTATCAATAAGTGTAATTATTATTATTATTATTATTATTATTATTATTATTATTTGTTATCTCCTCCCAACTCACATTAATTATATTACAAATTTAGACATTAAGATTAATCTTTTGTATATCACAATGTTTATTAAACTTTTTTTTGTAAAGGTTTTTAATTCTAATGATTTTGTTTTGTAACATTTCTAATAAACGAATAATGAAATACTATTGTAAAACCGTGCATAGCACGGGTTTTGAATTAGTATTACTACTTCCGTTTCTTATTATGTGCAATAAAGGAATATTTTATGTCTCACAAATAATACCTCTTTGTTGCACATAATAAGAAACGAAGGTAGTATAATATTTATGAGACAAATTAACCACTATTACTTTCTCATGACATTAGTATACTTCACAGTCTCACTATTGAAAAGTTATATGTTACAAGAGTTGTTAAATTGAAAAGTGGGTTGACTATCACCTTTGAATATGATAAATAGCTAATTTTGTATTTCAATACTCGAAATTATATCTTACCAGTCACCGATGGTCTTAGTTCATCCCTTTGTTCCTTAAATTAACCAATTAGAAGAGATTTGATATGTGGATCGTTGATACGTGAATGCTAATTTAAAAAATCAGCATTGTCAACGATAATGTATAGACAAACTAGTATATTGGAAAAATAAATAAAATAAAATAAAATAAAATAAAAACCCTCTTTTCTATAAGTTACCTGATATAAAATTAATTCATAATTGATTTTTGCCCAGTTTAGCTTGGTATTTCATTTTATCAGCCACTCTGAATTTAAATATCAAAAATTCGAATCCGAAATCCGATCCGAAATCCAAATAACATGAACAAATTATTCCACATTCAAAAATAAATAAAAGTTTGCAACCACTTGAGTAAAACATAATTATAACCAACTTGAAAAAAAAAAGTACTAATTAATGTTGAACATAAACATTATAATCAACAATACTAGCACCACTTTTATCCAACATTGTAATAGTTTTAGCTTGTGCATACCCTGTAGCAGACCTAAACACACCACTTCCACCAACAACACCCATTTCTCGTACTTTACTCATCACTTGATTTCTTCCTAACACACTTATGGTACTTCCATTATATTCACCCTCTACAAATACAAAGTTCATTATCATCAATAGTCCCTGTTGCTTAAGGTCCGCAAACCCGTACATTCCTTGCGCGTACCCTATGATTTTTGAGTCTTTTTCGGGTCCTACGGTCAAGGGATCATCGAACATAACAAGCGCGCCAAAACCACTTGGGGTTTTGTCCGTGATTGAGGATTGGGCGATACGTCGCGCGGTCAGGTTAGGCCCTTTGACGTAGTCGTGCCAGTAAAAGTGTAGATGGGTAAAGTGGTGTTGTTTTTTAAGACCCATTTCTTCTTTTGTTATGGATCTTGAGAATGCATGATTTTGTGGTATGAAGAAACTTAGGACTAGTAGGAAAGAAAACAAGGAGAGTTTGGGAATAGACATATTTTGGACAAAAAAATATGATAAATTTTGGTTAGTACGTAAGAAGTAAGTTGTAAGAATGTTGCATATATATAGAGGATGATCTCGAGGAGTTGGTGAACTTGGCAAAAAAATACAAGATACGTGGTCCATAATATGGTTTATATGGGGTTGTAAAACTCTTTGGTGGTCCATCCACTGGGGTTAAGCTTAATGGTGTGTATGTACTCTTTTTTAATTAATTTGAATATGAGAAACTAGTTAATACAGACGATCAAATTAGTAAATAAATTGGTGTAACACTGTAACTTATCACTTAACTTTCAATGAAATTGGATTTTCTTTATTTTGAAAAGATAACTATTCGCATATATATACTTATATAGGGGCATTATCGGTATGTTTGGATTGAAGGAAATAGAGGGAAAGGAAGGAAAGGAAAAAAGAGAGATGTGACCCCTTTTATTTGGAAAGCAAATGATTGAGAAAGGAAGGCAAAACACACTACACGCCTCGTTTTACATATTAAGAAATATCTCGATTTGCGTGTTTACGTTTTTAATACGCAAAATGAGACATTTACGTTTTTTTTGCCAAATATGAGCTCAATTTGTTTGGGCAAAATAGCCCCCAAAACATTTAACTAAACAATTTCCAATACACAAATCGATAAGTAAATATTAATAATTAAGTGGAGAGTGGTCCCCACTAAAGGAATTTTTTAACGGCGGGATAATAACAAGATTACTGTATAGAAACTAAATGTATTTTGGAGTTATAGTGTGAATTTTTTTAAAATAAAGGGCACAACGTAGAAAAGTGAAATTTAGAAGGTTAGAAAAACCCAATTTTAAAAAAGCAAACTCTATAATACTTAGAGCTGTCAATTCGGGTAAATGGGTCGAGTTTGGGTCGGGTTTGCATGGGTCAGGTTAACTCAGGTCGGGTCAATCGGGTAAATGTCGTAACTTATGCGTGTCGGGTTCAGGTTGGTCATGCATGAGTCGGGTCACATCGAGTCATATGTCTTCTCAGGTTTGAGTCGGGTTTAAGTCAAGTCAATAAAAGGTCGGGTTACATTGGGGTTGAGTCAATAATAGGCTGGGTTTAATTTGACTTTTAACGGGTTAAAACGAGTTCAGGTCATTTTCATGTTCGAGTCGTGTTCTGTTCAATTAAGTCAATATTTGTGGGTTATTCTGGTCATTTTCAAGTTGGTCATTCTCGGGTTCAAGTCGGTTTTGGTTCGTTCAAGTCAATTATTTGCGGGTTATAATCAGGTTGGGTCATTTAAAATCCGTCAATTCAAGCCGGGTCATGTTCGGGTCTCAAATATTTGGTTAATCTGAGACTCATCAGGTTGATTTCAGATCAGGTCGGATCATATCAGGTTCATATACTTTTTTCAGGTTGGTTTGTTAACACTTCGTGTATTAACGTTCACGTTCACATTATTAATTTCTGTATTTATTGTAGAGAAATAATTTTAGATAACATCATATTCTTAGTAAAAATACTTTAGAAAAAGAGTACGTAACAATATAACTCTATATTAATAAGGTGGTCTAAATTGAATTTAAGGTGATTTGAAATCGGGTTAGGCCAATAACAGGTTAGTTGTTGAGTTCAAAATGGGTCAGGTTCAACTCGGGTTGAATTTGAGTCAGGTCAATAACAAGTGCTGATTTCGGGTTGGGTTTTTAACAAATCGGGTTGAATTTTGGGTCGGATTAGTAACAAGTCGGGTTAGATTCAGGTTGGGTTAGTAATAGATCGGGTTGAACTTAGCTTGGGTTAGTAACAGGTTCGGTTAAATTTGGGTTTTGATGGGTTAAAACGGGTTTAGGACTATAGGTTAATCTCGGTTCAGGGCAATAATTTACGGATTATATTCAGATCGGTTCTTCTCTAGGTTGGCACATATTCGGGTCTCAAATACTCAGGTTAACTCGGATCTAGGGTTGGTTTCACGCCAGATTCCGTTCGAGTCACCATTTTTTAGGTTCAAACAGGTCGATTAATAAAGAGGTCGGTTAAATTTTTCGAGCCGAGTCAGTTTTTAACATCTCTAATAATACCTACTAAAGTCTAACATATAGAGTTGACAATCCATTTGACCGTATGAAGTTTGAAAAGCTTTTGATGGAAAATAGCCATAACTTTAGGAGTAAAAAACCTAACTAGTAACACCAATTGTATTTCCATGAACATTTATTTTTTTATTTTTTTTTTTTTTTTTTTTGTAAGAGAAAGATACAAGTAGTTAGGCTAGTCTTCTCTCAAGACTGTAACCCAACGTATCTGAAGCAATAAAAAAAGAAAATTTACTATCTAAAAAAGGATCAATATCCTAGTGCGTTTGCATGCAATGACCTAAAGAAGCAACATAATCATCTGCTCTAATGCCATCTCTGTAGATGTTCCCAGACTCGACGGGAGAGAAAATACGAAGGAGCTCCCTAATATCTTCCAGTAGAAACTTAATCTTCCACGGACATTGAGCTTTAATTATCCCGAAAAATATTAATTATAATAAGTAAGTTATCCCCTTCAATAAAAATATGGGGAAAACTGTGGGATCGTGCAAGTAGAAGGCCATTACAAAGGGCAGTAGCGTCAGCAATAAGAGGCGTACTTGTGCTAATATTATAAGACCAACTACAAATATGATTACCCAAGTGGTCTCTGATAACTACACATGTAGCACCTGAGGCACCGCGTACAGAGCCGTTAAAATTTATCTTAACAACACCATGACGAGGAGGAGACCAGGAAATCTGAATGGTCTAAGAATTAACATAAGAAGCAGAAGGAGCTAAATGATTATCCATAGGATCCAAACAAGAGTGCAACTTCCATTCATTAAAGATTTTTTTGGGCACGTGATAAGATGACCATAAAAGAGAAATTCATATTCTGAAAGACAATTGAGTTTCTAGTTTTCCAAATACTCCACGTAGAAGTAATAATCTTAATCACTGAAAAAGAAAAATTCCCACGTAAAATTCTGAAAAGATGATAAAAATTATTATGAAGAGAAACATGACCTTGCCAATTAGTAGTAGGGTTAGCAGTCCAAAAACGTTTCGTAAACAAACATGAAAGGAATAAATGATCCTGTGTTTCAACATGAAAATTACATAAAATACATGTACTGGGAATGTCCAACTAACGATGAGCAAGATTAGCTCTAGTAGGAAGAGCGTTATGAAGAAGCTGTCAAACAAAAATTTTCAATTTTGGAGAGATATCTAATTTCCAAATCTCAGCAAATTCCCAATTAGTGTGTGTAGATACCCATTTGTGTCTCCCCAAAACCAAACCCAGTGATGAGTATCTTTCACGTCGAATCATAATCAAATGAAGTGAAAGTGTGGAAAGTCTAGTGTTGCGGATAGTTTTTTTTTATTTCTTTTCTTTCTCTTTGTTTTTGAAAACCTATTTTAAGAAAACAGCCAATCCAGTTTGGTTTGGTCCATGGCAAGGGTCCAATAATAGCGTAGTTGGATGGGGTTCGAAAAGAGCTTTCCAATGATATATTATAAGCCCAATTCCGAAGAATAATGAGAAAGTTATGGCCAAATTACTAAACTGGACCCGATTTGATCTTTATGTGCGGCCCAATGATCTAGAGGGGGCCTAATATTGATTTATCATTCCTAATGCAATTAGAATTTATTTTAGTCTTCTAGATTCTTCTAGAAGGTTATTTTCATTCCTACTTTAATTAGCATTGATAAGTTGACTTTGATTGACTTTTTAGAGTTTTAATCAAAATAAAAGAAGTGTTTTTAAGAAAAATACGATTTTGCCCTTCTGTACAGCTAAATTTTATCAAAATTAAGAAAACGCGTGAAAACGGCTATTAGCGCATGACGCGAGCCTTTAGCGTCTGGCGCTAATGTCCAGCGTCTGGCGCCAATAGTGTTTTATTCTTGTCGAAACTCTGATTTGTTTTTCAATCCATCCGGCTGATTTTCTCCTTAAATAGCCTCCTAAAACCTCCGTTTTCCATGATAAAAAATCATCGATTCTCATCAATAATCAATCAACTATGTAATTCTCTCTCACCAATTCTCATCAAGAAATTCTCTTCTCTCTCTAAGCTAAAACTTATTCTCTATCTCCTAGCTTTTCTCTACAAAATTCCGCATTCACAAGATCTAGAAACACCTAGCCAAGTTCGAAGTTGCCTTTGCCCTTGACTTGAAAGGTTTTAATTTCTGAGGGTTTGGTCCCAAATCTAGTCTAAACTTTCTTAATCTTTCTTTCAATTATTTAATTTAATTGTTTGATTTATTATTTTCCTTGAAGTTACTAACGTGTGTATTTTGTTATTAGAAAGAGGTACAAGCTAAGGCATCCAAGTAAGTGCTTTAATTGATTTATTGATATTATGATATAGAAATTATGTCTAGGTTGTTATTATGATTCCTAGTGTCATGTTAGGGCGCTTTGATCTTCCTAGTACATGTTTAGGGTAACAACCATAATTTCTAATATCAAATACGACAATTGTGTTTCCTGCGATGCTTCCTATTTTCTTCCTAATATATTCATGTTAGTATCATGTTAGGGCTATATATTTGATCTTTATTGTTTAGTGACATGCTAGGGTTTGTTATTAATCTTGTTAGTATCATGCCTAGGATCTTGCTATTATTATTATGCTTTAACATGATTATGTTAATTATGATTAATTTTATTATTTTAATTATGACTATAATTGATCATGATTATTTTAATTATCATTATTATGATTATTATTGTGATTATTATGATGAGATATAATGAGATAATTAATATAATGAGATAATTAATAATCTTGTTTAGGGTTAATTTGATTATAATTCAAGTGATCGCCAATAATAGATTTATTTGTGCATTAATATTCAACCAACATAGATAATCAGGTTTAGGGTTAATCTTATTGATTGTATGTTAGTCAGAAAGCGCACATGAATACGAGAAGAATAAATTAGAGACCTATTATTAGGGTAGGTTCAATCTCTTTTAGGTTGGATTTGTACCTTCATCCCCGAACTACCAGTCATGGTTCCAGACCTATTGGAGTTGACGATCTCATGGATCGTTAAGGGGTGTAA